TTAGACTTAAATACCCATAAAACAAGATGGTCAGCTCAAAAACGCCTGTACAAATGCAAAAACTAAAAACCCTGTATGTTTTACTAGTATATATTTGTCAGATTGTGAAACTGATCTTACTAAGGAGAATGTATGTAGAGCAGTCTACAGAGGTCAGTACCTTGTAGATCAGTGCACAGTGTAAGTTACAGAGTTAGTAGTTTCTAGGGCCAAGTACAGGGGTCAGTCAATATACAGGGGTCAGTAGATTGTAGGGCAGCATACAGCAGTCAGTAGTATGAAGGGCAGTGTACAGGGCAGTGTACAGGGGTTAATAGTTTGTAGGGAAGAATACAGAGGTCAGTAGCTTGTAAGGCAGTGTACAGAGGCTATCAATTTGGGTATCGCCTGCTGCCGCCCCGAAAAAAAAAAGACTCCACTCACAACGCTGGCTCCAGCTGTCTAACTTCTCTGCTGGCTTGACAGTTCTTAAATATGTAAGGGGCGGGGCACCTGGTGACATCAAGCATGTGACTCCTTGTGACGTCATCGGCCGAGGAATGTTGGGTCGATGACTTCACAAGGGGCAGGGACGCATATGCGATGTCACTGGGTGGCCCTGCCCCTCACATATTTAAGAACTGTCAAGCCAGTGGAGCAGTTAGACAGTGGGAGCCAGCGTCAGGAGTGGAGCCTTTTATTTTTATTTTTCGGGTCGGCGGTGGGCATCGTGATTGTTTTATTTTTCTTCTTTTAATAAAGGACTTGGGTTGTGGGGAAGAGGCCCGTGTACACATCAACATAGGGACAAGGTGCTTTGGGGGGGCTCCCCCTGCCCCAATGCACCCCCCATGTTGAGGGACTGTGGGCTTGTATGGTTCAGGAGGGGCTCATTTGCCCCCCCCCCCCACCTCTTTCCTGACCTGCCGGGTTAAATGCTCAGATAAGGGTCTGGTATGGATTTTGGGGGGATCCTACACCATTTAAAAAAATAAAATGTGGCATGGGGAATCCCCTCAAACCCCATACCAAACCCAAAGGGCTTGGTATGGATGGAGGGGGGACCCGTTTTTTTTAATTTTTTTAAATTGCTGGCAATTCTTTCTTTTACATTCAGCTGTCAGTGGGGAATTGTGCTGACAGCTGAAACATTAACGCATGGTTTTCAGTACTAAAATACAGCATGACTTTATAAAATAACTAATGCGGTATTTTAGTAGTGTTTTTTTTTTGTGAATTTAAACTTGTTTTTTTTTTAATGCTGTGGGGTATCCTACCACAAATTCGGATGCGGTAAGATACCGCTTAGTGAATTGTGCCCATTGTGTTCAGTGGCACTGAGAGCAAGAGGAGGATTCAACAAAGAGCTGGGGATTGTGGGATATGTAGTCCGGAAGTCAGAGAACTACTACTGGGAACTACAGGTTCCAGCTAGCTGAAGAAGGAGAGGTGAATGCTGGGAGAGGATATATAGTTCAAACTCTAGAGAATGTGCTTCTTCTTGGGACTACAGGCTGAAGCTGCTAGCAGGGACCACCTGCTGTGGAAAGTTAAGCAGTCCGCGCAGTCTGGATGGTGTGGAGAGTCTTTGGCGTGTGAGCTACGGACTGGCTAGCAGTGCATACGTCTACAGCTTCCTGTCAGCAAATCCGAGATGTGAGCCTCATCACCATCAGCTACAGCGGAATTCCGGGTTCACAGGGCGTTAAGCCGAGTGTCCCACGCTGGTTGCAGATTCTGCAGGAGCATCCAAGACATCCTGGATCCCTTGAGCCGCGGTATCATCAGAATTGGTCAGCGGGTGGAAGCCCACACTGTATACACTCTTCAATAAGAGTCACTTTATGCAGACAGCTTTTACATCTCACACCTTACAAGTTTTTGAACCTTCCCTGGAACCATCTACCCAAAATATCTACATTTGCTGGTTGCAATTGCACAGCAATCTTCTCTGAGCCCTTACTAAGCTAGCTAAAGTCCCAGGACATCCTTTCCACCAAGACTCTTATTGACACTCTTCAAATCCAGGATTTGGTGCCCATCTCGGTGCATATGTTAAAGGGGGACTCCATTTAGAATTGTTCATAGTGTAGCTCATACATTCAACCTACAGAGTGTGTTGTTTTTTTCAGGACCTATGGCATCAGGATTCTATGGGAGCAGGCTGACACCAAAATTACACCTTTTTTTCAATTCTGGGATATTGATGTTCAGCTTGTTATTATTCTATGAACACAAACCTTTTGACTTCTTGTATTGTGTCATTTGTGATCCACGATGGTACTCTTGACCTCATGTTGTTTTACTTGCTATATCTACTTGTATGCTTACCAACACACCTGAGCTCCAATGAATATTTAGATATTAGGTGGCTCTGTAGGACAATCCATGTGCATAAAATCACTCCAAACAACCTATCAATACAACTAATATAGAACAATCCACATATAGATATAAAGTGCAGTCCCCTCCACCAGTACTGTGGTGTCAAAATTCCTATGTGAACTTATAACAGATAGCATAGATGCAATTCAGTTCTCCTTTAAGGAGTCACTCAGGCAGCATAACAAAAAAAGAGAGCCGCTAATAATGTAAAACCATATGACCAATAGCTGAAATTGGAACTGTGCATGCACGGTCAAGTGATCAGGTCTGACATACTGGCTGGGTGCTGCTGGGTTGGAGCTCTATATAAAATGTCAGCTTTCATTGCATTTTTGACTGCGAGGAGCGATGTTGTTCTGTTGATACTTACCTCAGATACGTGAACTTTATTTTTTGCTTCCGCTCTGTATTATCTTCTCTGGGCAACAAGTATATGGTGACTCATTATGTATGGGTTGTTAATCCAAGGGCATGCCATGTGAAAGCTGCTTTCCTCATAATTTTGATTACAGCTGTATGAGCTGGTTTGCTGTGCCTGCTTTTAATGACTAGGTGAGTTGTCAGGCACATTTGGGTACATCCAGTATACATTTACAATGTGGCTACAAACATATTATTATTATACAGTATTTATAAAGCGCCAATAGTTTGTTCAGTGCTGTACATTACAAAGGGGGACAGAACACGTGACAGAACAATACCAATACAATGCAAAACATGAGGGGATCGAAGGCCCTGCTCTTTCGAACATATGTCATATATTATTATTTTTTAGACCCAGTGGTGTTTTCATTCCATCATCCCCCTGGACTTCCATATCTAAATCATCGTTAAATAAGCTCCAGTGACTGGATTATACACTTTGCAACCTAGAGTACCTCATTATGTGATGCTGTCTCTGTTTTCATCAGCCCCTCATTTTGAATGTGATGATAATATTTACCTGGTATCTCCTGGGCTGAATTACATGTTTTCTTGTTTGGGATCGTTTATGGTGTAGTTGAGTCGAATATTTATAATATTTTTGTTACATGCATATAGGCAGTTATGGCCTCAATGTGTGATCCCTGGTTTACCCCAGAGGGATATAGCTTGCACCCCACTTGGGTCCCATCTTTGCCTGGTATTAGCGGTAAGGGCCAAACCAGTTACCATCTACTGGAATTGTTTCATAGCCTTTTTTTGTACTGATACTGCATGTTTTTGATTTTTTTGGTATTTTTGTATTGTTTGATATTATTCTGTATAATTCTGTTTTGTTATAGAAATTACTTTTGCCTCACTGTACTCTTGAAGAAGCAGGAAACTGCAAAACATGTCGAGATAGGTTGATTGCAAACTTACCTTCATTGTGGAACAACAACTTTCTGGTATGAGACAGCATCTAGGGTGTTGATTGTAGTACAGCCTGCTAAGGGGGGACTTTTTAACCATTTGTTGTTAATATCTTAATATTAACTATTTTTAATATTGATATACTTTGTAATAAATTTATGTGGTTTTAAACCATTCATTTGTTGTTGATGTGCCCTTGTTGGTACCAGGAAAATCCTATTGACTCTGTAGATGCTTTCTAATTTTGCCAATAGCTTTATTCACTTGAGTTAAAAATCTACTCACAAACATTCTAATATCAATGCTCATCAAAACCACAAATATGGACTGTCAGGTATAACCCTGTTCCTCAGCGAGTGAATGGCATCTCATCCGGTCTGTTCTTCCATGACTTCCGCGTGTCACTTTGGGGGGGGGGGGGGGGGGGGGGGGGGCCTACTGTCACTTCCAGTTGCTGTACAGTCAGACCTTAACATGATTCATCTATCGACTTCTTCAGACGTTTGAGCCCACTGTACAACAACAACATTGAATTTTTTTGCTAAGTTAAAATATTTATTTGTACACATAGTGAATTTCCTTTTAATTCATCCTAAAGCGCAGTGCTTGTATATTGCATATTGTGTTACCTGTATGCTTACCTGTTAACCTTCAAACCAATAACATGTTTGTGAATTAAAGGAACAGCTCTGATTATGGCATAATAATGGAAAGAAAATAACCTAAAGCGGTACAATTGAGACAATTTTTATGGTGTGTACAAATTAAAGCCACTTTAAAAATTAAAAAATCATTTTAAGTGTCATATTTTATGGGCTTGATTTACTGTAGACAACTCATTTTGCTAGGAAAATTGCATATAGCAAGAGAATTTTCCCCAGAGCTTAATGAAGGAGGTGAAGCTCAGCTGACCTCCATCATCCAATCCTATGCATGCAAGAATGCTGTTTTTGTTATTTTATCCTTGCACATGATTGAATATTCTTTGCAAAGTAAAACTTTACCACATTCACTAAGTTCCATGGCCAATTCCCTTGAAAAGTGATCAGCCTATTTGCCTTTAGTAAATCAACCCCTATATGTTGCGCAGTCACTAATTAAGTAAGGTGAGAATTCGGCTCCAGATATAGATCTTAATAATGTGATTTACTTTTTGCAATCATGGGGGAAGGTCATGTTAAAAAGGAAACAGCTTGTTGATTATCTGTTCTCACTTCCCCACAGATATATTTCCCTGCAGCTGTGCCACACTCAGTGTTCAGAGTGGAAGTTCCTTGGTGGTCAGACACAGTACCAGAATGAGCAACTGGGTGGTAAACGAAGGACTTTCCATCATTGTTATTGTGAGTAAGAAAATCTATACATATCTTCTAGCACATGTAAACTAATAGCTAGTACTACAAATTTTAACACAAAATGTAAGCATACTAGCTTAATATGATGCAAGGCAGGTCTAACCATTGCTGTATATTAATTTTTTACATGAAAATTGCCATGATATAAGAAAATAGCAGCCGCTAACTCTGCTAGGGAAAGGCAAACTTTACTGCTGAAAATGATTTACTAAACAACTAGGAATAACTGTACTCAGGTACTTAATACACCTAGATTTTGTTAGGTTGAAAAAAATGCAGTGCAATAATAACTGGGGCATAAAACACATATATGTATATATTATTTATTTATTTTTCATTTCAATTCTCACTGCAAGATAGTATTTACTATAAAGCCTCATACTCATATTGTTTAACAGATGCATTTTATTGATTTTTGAAATGTATCAAACATTAAAAATTTAGATGATGAAAGGTTGGGTAACATCAAAAAATAGTTTACATTTAACATTATACTCAATTTGGGCAATTTTTCTTTGTCTATTTGTTGTTTTTGATGAGAGATTTTGACAGTGGACTGAGATGTGGGTTATAAGCCTTGCATGCTTTTTAAACAATCAGGCTTGTATGAGTTGGAAAATTCGAAGGCACATATCACATAGAAATGTTGCACAATTTAGCAATAATTAGGCACATTAAAAAATTGCATAATGGTTCACAAATGGATTAACAAAAAAACTTTTTTTTACCCTTAGTAATGCACAAATTACTGTTTCTGATCACATGTCCATTAATGTATAACTTATAACTTATTATGGGCAGCACAGTGGCTAAATGGTTAGCACTTCCACCTGGCAGTACTAGGGTCATTGGTTCAAATTCCAGCCACGGCACCACCTGCCTGGAGTTTGCATGTTCTCCCTGTGCCTGCATGGGTTTCCTCTGGATACTCCGGTTTCCTCCCACACTCCAAAGACATGCTGGTAGGTTAATTGGATCTGGTCTAAATTGGTCCTAGTATGTGTATGTATGAATGTGAGTTAGGGACCTTAGATTGTACGCCCCTTGAGGGTTAGGGACTGATGTGAATGTACAATATATATATATGTAAAAGCGCTGCGTAAATTGACAGTGCTATATAAGTACCTGAAATAAATAAATTCTACTAAATATTATAACTGCTAAAGACAGTTTTGCGTGCAATTTATATAGGATGACCTTTATGTGGGTTTCATTGAATCAGCCTTATGGAGTTAACATCTGCTGAGTTTCACTGGAACAGTTATGGGCTCTGAACACTTGCCCCAAAACATTTTTGTTCCTGTACATGTCCAATAAAGACCGTTTATCTTGTATAATTGCTTTATGCATTCCCCAGCTTGTGGTTTATATTGTATTCATAATTTACATTTAAATGGAGTTGATAGTAGTATTGCCTTGAAAAATTTTAGTTCTAAAGTTTAAAATATGTCGTTACCTATTAAAGGAACATAAAATACTTCAAATTTTGGCAGTAAATCATAAAATGTACATCAATAGCATAAACAAGATAAGTGCCCCTGAACAAAAAATCATTTTCAGTGATTGTAATATTATCTTTCAGCTGGCATGGCTTGGACTGAATGGTTTCCTATTTTGGAATTTTTACGTTGTCTATGAGGAAGGCAGACGATATATCTATTCTAGAGAGATTTTTATGGAGTAAGTACTTTCACTTACTGTTTTCTAAAAACTGAACATTAACTTTAAATAAAGGTATTGATGTAACGCTTTATTATCAGTGATGAAATACAGAAACCCAGCTTCTACAACCCATTTTATAGTACAGTACTAATTTTTAAATCTGTACATACATTGATGTGTTTTATTTTTAATAATTATATGTTTATAAAAAGTCTAAAGATGACTGTAGAAATTCAGCTTTTACTTCTTGCCTTTTTAGTACAGTCCTGTAATTTTTAAACCTAATTTTTCTTGATAGATACTGTGTATTGCTGTGCTTTATTATCAAATATAGGTTTATAAAAAGTCTCAAGCTACATTTTGCCTTTTGACTGAGATTTTCTATATGAAATATTGATATTAAATGTATAATTTAAAGCTCAATTTAAATTTCATTTTAAACCAGCTATATAGGTAGTACTGCCTGGACCTTGAAGAAGTGGACATACCTTGAAAGCTCATCCTCAAAATTGTATGTTAGTGCAAACAAAAAAAAATTTCATGGACAGTACTCAATTGTTTCTATCACAAGTGCACTAATACAGTTACAAGCACCTCAACCAGCTATATAAATTCCAGTTGTATCAAAACAATGGGTGTTCAATGGCTTACAATTTGTTTTCTTTAAAAAACATCCACAGCTGGAGTAGAAAAGCGTGTTCCCTGTCAGCATGCCCCGAAGTGAGCTTTACTCAAAACTCACACACTCTGCTGATTTGAGAGCTGAAGCTGTAGGCTGTGATTTATGAGGGGGTGTGTTGGCTTATGCAGAGAGATCACTGCTTCTATAGAAAGAGTAGGGGTCCAACTCTGCAACGAGTCTACTCAGGCGGTGACTGCTTTTTTTTCTAGAAAACAAACTTTAAATCTTTGAACATATTCTAGGGAATTCAATAAACGTTTACTACAATTTTCTGGCAGAAATACCCTTAAAATTACCTGCTCCTGATTCCGGCAAACATCTGCACAAGACACATGCAACAAATTCAAATAGTTCTTCCACCACTTTTAGAACCTGTCGCGTTGGCTGCAACAGAGTCTGAATTCCAGTTTGTTTGTTAACCACTTGCCCTGCTGAGGGGGATGCCCCCTTCCTGGCCAGGCTATTTTTTGCGTTATGGTGCTGCATTATTTTAACTGACAATTGTGCGGTCCTGCAACGCTGCACGCAAATTAAATTTATGTCCTTTTTTTTTCCCCCACGAATTGAGCTGGTGGTATTTGATTGCCTGTGCGTTTTTAAATTTTTGAGCTATAAAAAAAAAGACCAACAATTTAAAGAAAAAAACAATATTTCCAATTTTTGGCTAGTAAACATGTCCAGAATGTATTCTGCTACATGTCTTTGCTAAAAAAATATCCCAATATGTGTAAATTAAATGGTTTACGTGAAAGTGAAATTTTTTTACTAGTAGTGGCAGTGATCAGTGACTTATAGCGGGACAGCGGCGGGCATTCTGACACTGGGGGGAACTGACTTGGAGTCACTGACATTCCCAGTGACACCAATACAATGATCAGTGCTAAAAAAAAAAGCACTGACACTGTACTATGGCACTGGGCAGGAAAGGGTTAACATGAGGGGCAATCGAAGGGTTAACTGTGTGCTGGGGGAGTGTTTTACTAGGGGGCTGTGTCAGTGTGCTTCACTGTAAGCACACTGCTTTGGATGGCTGTGCTGTGCACAGCCATCCAAAGCAATGTGCCCAAGCTAACAGGGAGTAGAACTGTTAGTAAACAAAACAGTTCTCCTCCCCGCCGGAGATCGTTAGAAATCACCAGGTGCTGGTGAGTAACCTGGGACCTGGGGTGATTGACAGCCGCGGCCACGAATTGTGGCGCGGGTAGGGCACACACATGCCCCCTATCAGCAAATGCAAAATCACGTATATATACATGATTTTGCGCACCCTTGCCGCCCTGTAGCAGTATATCTGCTACAGTGTGGATGGGAAGCGGTTAATAAACCACTGTTAAATAAAGTGATTCTAAAGGTTCATTTTTTTAAAATTACAAACATACTTACCTGCTCTTTGCAATGGTTTTGCACAGAGTAGCCTCGATCTTCCTCCTCTTGGGTCCACCACTGCTGCTCCTGGCTCCTTGCCCCCCCACTGAGTGCCCCTATTGCAAGCTGCTTGCTCTTCCAAGCCGCCTCTGTCCCACAGGATCCCTGTCTCCTCCTCACTGGCTGTGATTGACAGCAGTGGGAACCAAAGGCTCCAGCTGCTGTCTTTACGCCAATGAGATGTGAGAGAGCCGATAGAGCCTTGGTTCTCATGCACATCGCTGGGTTGAGATCGGGCTCAGGTGAGTATATGGGAAGGGACTGCAGGGGGAGCTGTACATAGAATGCATGAAGGTTAATAACCAGCTGCCTTTAAAACCACTTTAAGACCAATTGTGACCTGGCACAAAGACAAATGCCAGTGCTCAGAGTGGGGCATGTCCGTACTAGGAAGCTGTCATGAATGTGAAAGCTTCTTACACAGGACTCTATCCCTGACTCCATTTAGCCATCAGCCAGGAGATTACCAGGTTAACGCTATATGTAAACAAATGGGCTGGGATACTACTGATGCTATTACCCAAATATGGCAAGGCCCATGTTTGTGAAAAGACAAGTCAAGGCGAGGTGGGTCTGATGAGGAACTAGTCTTTATGACCTAATTGCCTGTTGAGTGGGTGGAGGAAATGAGAAGCTAGTTTTCTATCACATCCACCTTACTTTTTATTGACAGCACACTGAATTGGGTAGATTCCATAACATGGACCTGATGAGCGCACTGAGGAAGGAATGTGCAGTATAGACCAGGGGCAGACTGACAACTCATGGGGCCCCCGGGCAATAGGGGATCATGGGGCCCCTGTGTCCTTGCCCAAACTCAAAAAAGCCTATGAAAAAGGTACCAGGGGCATCTCATGGGGCCCCCTACTGACCCCGGGCCCTCGGGCAGTGCCCGAGTTTCCAAATGGTCAGTCCGCCCGATATAGACTTTCCAGCCTCAATGGTAGCCTATGACAGATTCATGTGCCCGTTACTGAGAGGTACATGAATCTGGTGTAAACACCAGCAACTTTGGTCCGAAGGACCAACAGAACCCTAAAGGGTGTCTACAACGTTCTTTGTAAACCTCCCTGATTTTGTTTGGATGCACCTACAATGTATTAGGTGATTTAAACTGAAATTTCAATTGAGCTTTAAGGAGACCATGAAATTGTCTTTCACAAAGATTTATACAGTATATATGGATAAAGCACCAGGCATCCACTGTTTGCCAAAATTGGACATCCATCATATCTTTATATTTACAAAGTTCATTCAGTAACAGAGTAGAAAGAGACATTTAATTAATGAGGTAAGGTAATGTTTCAGGCAGAAGATCAGGCTCACATCCTCTTGTATAAAGCCATCAGCTGCTTTCTTTTAAAATACTAATAAATACTGGGTTCATAGTGCAAGGATGGAGCCCATGTGTACCTGCACTATTTTAGTTTTTCTCTGCAAGAGAAGGATCTGTTATGGTCATCAGTGAGGTGTCCACGATACTAGAGGTGGAAGGTGCTATTTACCATGCTGTTACAGGAGACACAAAGGGGTTGATTTACTAAAACAAGTGCAAAATCTGGTGCAGCTGTGCATGGTAGCCAATCAACTTTTAACATTCTCTTGTGCAAAGCCTTGTTCAAAATAACCTAAGCTTGACAAAATAACCTGGAAGCTAATTGGTTTTAATACAGTTCCTCATGTTGTGGTGATGCATTATGCATCTAGTTTTAGTAAATCAACCCCAAAGAATAGATACTTCCTAAAAAGGGGTGAAAGTACCACTGTCCTGAGTTGTGTGAGGTGCAAATAAGCCAGAGTTTCTGGCATTAAACAAAGGAGGAGGCACGTCATAGGGATTGTACCATTGTGGCAAATCTGGTAAGGCTGGTAATTGATTATTACAGTGAGTAATACAGTGAGCCTTTTGAATTATGGTGACTCTTTCCATATATCGTCTATTAAAGACTTTTGCCATCTTATTGAGTTTATACTTATATACTAACATAAATGTATTTTTTATCATCCTGTGCTGCAGTCAGCCCTGGCCTGGGCCAGAGCCCCAGCCGCATGCCTGAACTTTAACTGCCTGCTCATCTTGCTGCCAGTATGCCGAAACCTTCTTTCCTTTCTCCGTGGATCAAGTGTGGTAAGAATATAGTTAAAGTTAACGTAATCAAATGAGGAAAACAAATTACTCAAGTTCCCAAAAGCTAGCATAACAAATCCAATCCCATTCTATGGCTCTTGATAGCTTATTTGGTTTTAATAGAGAAATTGGTAGTTTTTGGTTGGTGTTCTCCTTGAAGCTACTGTATTGAATGCATAGTCACAACACTTTTCATGAGACTTTTACACTGCTTTAAAAAGGCGATAGGATAAAAAAGGATTAACCCAGGTGCTCTGGGTGACACTTTCCTATCAACATACTACTTGTAAGTACTCAAGTCTCATTGATGAGGTTCTCATAGCTCTAAACAATTCTAAACAATCTTATCAATGAGTTTTGATGTATTAAAAACCAGGATTCTGCATATAGTTTGAAATTATTTGCCAGCATGGAGGCAACATTTTTGATCCCCCTATTTCAATATAGATTGAAAACACGATATTTCTTTGGTACTGAGTGGTGTCAGAAATCATGGTATCTAGGCTGCCTAGACTTCTAGCTGGGGAACTGGAGTGTTTTACTCATGACAAGAATAGGGTCCTTCTTTAAATTCAAAATTAAAGAGGAATGTCTTTCAAGTTTAACTTGATCCCATAATAAATAATGCATTTCTATTTTTGGCAAAGTTTGCCTACTATAGGTTTTACCAAAAATAAGACAATAGTGTTGTGTTGTGTCGAAAGATAAATAGACTGTGTGGCACCTACAATTAGAAGAGAAAATCCAGAAGACACCGTCACGATAACAAAACACTGCCACAGAAACACGTTTTCCACCTGTACCCAAGATACGGTCTATGGTCAAACCAGCGGCATTCCAGTTTTTTATTTTTTTTTTAAATCAGCACTAGTGGCTCAATGCTTTTATTTTTTTCAGAAAACATTGAAGGTTAAAACATTTAAAACAATTAAAAGCCTGACAAATTCTTGCCTTTGCCTTTGCAACTGCCAAACAAAATGGTTGTTGCAATGCAGAATAGAGTTTCGGGCATAAGTCAACAATAATATCTCATGTATATTTAACTTCCAGAGAACTTTTATAGGAAACCTTCTTATAGGGAATCTTTTATCCTTAAAAAAGCAATGATGTACAAAGTGTGCCAACCGTTACATTTTAGTTTTCTTTTGGTCAAATCAGCTAAAATATTATTTTTGGTTGGTAGTTTTTTTTTTTTACAGTGCATTATCCTTCTCATTTATTGTGCCATGTTGGTGTTTTGTTATATACATATTCTTTGTAGTAGAAAGACTGTAGGGGTCAAAAGAAATTATCTCTTTGTTTCATGGTTTATGAAGTGATTTTCTTTACCTGCAGTGTTGTGGAAGAAGTATACGAAGACAGCTGGATAGGAATCTTACTTTTCACAAAATGGTGGCATGGATGATCGCCCTGCATACAAGTTAGTAACATTACATTCTTCATATAATGCAGTGTTTGAGAGATTTTTTTTCTCTACGTTACCTGTTGTATACAATCAAAACTTGCTGATTCTTCATAATTAAAGTGTTACTAAACCCACAACAGTAAAATCAGTCTGTACATGCAGTAAAGCATGATTGTTATATTCACTGTGGAACCTAAGGGGTTACTCCTCTGCATTTTGCAAAAAGACTGTTTGATCCTGTTTTCTCTAGTCCTCCTCTTGTTCAAATGTCCACCTGATAAGACAGACTGAACCCATAGCCACATGCACATGCTCAGTTTAGTGTGTATTGCTAGAGAGGTTTTTTTTATTTTCTTGGAAGAGTGCATGTGATCAGCACAGAGCCAATCAGCACTGTCCAGACAGAGGATCAGGGGTTTTGCATCCTCCTAGAACAGAAAGAAAACTCCTCCTACAAGCTTTAACCAGTGCTCTGCGGAAGTCACAAAACTGCTCTATCTGCTGATGAGAAAAGGTATTTAGCAGTTTATATTTACTAAAATAATTGCATTTTCATGTTGTGTGTACTGTGGGAGACCAGATATAGTGAATGTAGGGTCCTGGGTTTAGTAACACTTTAAGATAACACAGTAGCTAAATGGTTAGCACTTCCACCTGGCAGTACTAGGGTCGTTGGTTTGAATCTGAACCACGGCACCACCTGCCTGGAGTTTACATGTTCTCCCTGTGCCTACGTGGGTTTCCTCCGACACTCCGAAGGCATGCTGGTAAGTTAATTGGATCCTGTCTAAATTGGCCCTAATATGTGTATGTATGAATGTAAGTTAGGGACCTTAGATTGTACACCCCTTGAGGGTTAGGGACTGATGTGAATGTACAATATATATGTAAAGTGCTGCATAAATTGACGGCACTATATAAGTACCTGAAATAAATAAATAAAGCAAATCCCTTCTGCAGTATTCAGGGTAACTGAGCCTAAACTGATAGTGAACATTTTACATGCCAATTAGTGAATGGACAGGATAAACATGCATGGGACATATATCTATAGTAAAAGAAAGTTACAAAAAAAAAAAAGGGAAGGCTTGAAGGACCACTTTTTATACCCTCAGTCTTCTGTTTCTGTGTTTCTAATTTATCTGTGTTTATACTTTAAGTTTGCCATTACATTCTATTATTATGAAAGAATGAAATCAGAATTTTTTTCTTTTATACACCAGCTGTAAAATAATTATTTAACTTGTCTGAGACTCATTTGTAGACATTTGGAGCAGCTAATGTTGAGGAATAAACTCACAAATGATGCAAAAAATAAAAAAGGAACAATAATTTAAAACTGTAATTTGAAAACTTTAGTATAATTTAGAAGTAGTGTGATATAATTATAAATTCCCCTTTTTAAGAGGAAGTTTGGTGTTTCTTAGTTTTTTGAATATACAGTGTGTACAGTATGAGAAAGATATCATTTTCAGGAAAATAATATCATGGTTGTGTATTTTCAAAAAAACTTGTGTCTACTGCTTACTTTGCAAATACTATATATACTGTATATATATATATATATATATATATATATATATATATATATATATATATATTAGACAAGAGAAAGTATGTGAACCCTTTGGAACAGTATGTCATCACCTTGGATTTAACTGTTTTTAGGTCTCCATTTTTAGACAAATGTATACCTGCCTTCAGATGGATGCCTAAACACTTTGAGATTGCTTTGCATCCTTTTCCAGCCTTATGCAGGTCAACTACTCTTGATCATATGCCTTCAGAGAGCTCTTTTTTGCACATGGCTCACATCAGCTGATGCTTCAATGTTTGATTGTCTTTTATCAATCAAGCTGTAAACCACACCTCCAAAGTCATTGCATTACTTAGACCCCAGGTGTGCAAATTACTGAATCCAATTAGATTTAGTAATTAGTCTATGGGTTCACTTACTTTTTTCTCCAGCAGTGTGAATGTTTAATGGGTGTGTTCAATAAAGACACGAGAAATTAGAATTTTTTGTGTTATCAGCTTAATCACATTGGGGGTTATTTACTAAAACTGGAGAACGCAAAATCTGGTGCACCTCTGCATAGAAACCAATCAGCTTCCAGATTTTATTGCCAAAACTTAATTGAACAAGCTGAAGTTAGAAGCTGATTGGCTGCCATACACAGCTGCACCAGATTCTGCGTGCACAATGTCTCATAAGCTACCCCTTTGTGTGTGTCTATTGTTGTGACTTAGATGAGGATCAGATCACTTTTTATGCTATGTTAGTGCATAAAAACAGTTAAAGAAGAAGTGCAGCCAAAGCTCTTTTGGCTGTACTTGTCCTGTGAATCACAGAAGTGCTGTTTATTCTGCACTCCTGTGACCCATTTTCTGTCGACAGTGGGCTAAAGCCCATTGCTAGCTGGTTTCACTCAGCCATTCCAGGCTGGGGAAAGGTCCCAAAGTCTGGAGCTGCACCTGACTCCTCACTCTTCCCCCTCCACAGCCCAACATACAAATGTATGTTTTCATATATTGAAATATTTGCTCCCCATCTGGTAAATGAAGGGACAGTTGCTACCACTGCCTGGTTGACATCAGGTGACAACTATATTGATGTGTTGTGTAGCTTGGTATGATATTGTATGCTCTTAGCTCAAGAAGGGTCTGTTGTGAAGGTGAACAATGCTGTTATGCATTACCAGTAAAAAAAAAAAGCTATTTTACTGTTACTATCATGACTACATATGGTTTATCATAATTGCTGTAATAAAGATTAGGGCGGACATCATGGGTTTCCTCTTTGCTGCCATTTACACTATATTGCCAAAAGTATTGAGATGCCTGCCTTTACCCGCACATGAACTTTAATGGCATCCCAGTCTTAGTCTGTAGGGTTCAATATTGAGTTGGCCCACCCTTTGCAGCTATAACAGCTTCAACTCTTCTGGGAAGTCTGTCCACAAGGTTTAGGAGTGTGTCTATGGGAATGTTTGACCATTCTTCCAGAAGCACATTTGTGAGGTCAGGCAATGATGTCGGACGAGAAGGCCTGGCTTGTAGTCTCCACTCTAATTCATCCCAAAGGTGTTCTATCGGGTTGAGATCAGGACTCATATCGCAAACAATAACCTGGTCAGGAAGGGGCGGTAAATCCTCTGGAAGGCAATCGGTTAAACATATACATAAACTGGATTCTGTTTTGAAGGGATGTTATAAAATCCTCTGAATTATGTTGAAGTAAAGGGTAAAATAACTTGTTGCAGAACACAAACATGTACAGTTACAATAAATTTAAGCTTACCAGTCATTGGATGCATATGTTTTTGTTTAATCTTTTTCCTTTATTTTCTCCTGCTGAACCTGCTAGTAACTAGTGATAAGACAAACTGCCCTGGTGTTTGAACACTGTTCAGTGAACTTCAAAAATTCGGATGCTGAACCACATCCCACTGAAATCAATGGAAACTGAATCTGTCAAATTAAAAATTCCAATTTTTTGGCCTCACAGGCAAGGGGGTGAAAAAAATAGCACGGGAGAGGGCACTGTCCTGGTGAAAAATCCTATTTGGCTAGGAGCTAGTGATTTTTAAAAACGCATAGTGTCTAACATGAAAAATGTACAATTCCTTTAAATAATATGCATTGGGTGTTCTAATCCTGCATGTGAAGGGTTGCATCTCCATGGTGTATAGAAAGTGCTGCAGCACTGTACAAAAAAGCATTTAAAATAGTGGGCAAATGGCATGTCATTGACACTTAAACCCCCCCCAAAAAAACACATAGTCCCTTCAAGGGTCTGCTATTAATTTTGGAGGGCATTTGGAGGGGGTCTGTATGCTGTTTTTTTTTTAAAGATGTTTTCAATAAATGTCTGGCAATTTAAACTGTAACATTAAGGATTGGCACCTTTGGGGAGCGGGAAGGGTACCCGAAATTGACAGGTACCTGCTCCCAATTTTTCTGCAATCGCCTAGGTGATCGCAAGCAGAAGTTGTCTTCCTCCCCTCCATGACAGGTCCCAGAAGACTACGGGACCATTCACAAAGTGCAGCATTAGTCGCACATGCACAGTAAGCACCCGGCTGTGAAGCTTCAAGCTGTCACAGCCGAGTGCTCACACTGAAGATGCCAGCGCCAGGAACACAGGGCGGCTGATGAAACTGGCTGTGGGGGGGACACCGTGGGATCGAGGGACAGGTAAGTGTCCATTTTTTATAAAAGTCAGCAGCTACAGTTTTTGTAGCTGCTGGCTTTTATTTTTTTTATTTTCACTGGAACCCTTCTTTAACACAAAGAAGTTTTTCAATATATTGATATTTATTTATTTCAGGTGCTTATATAGCGCCGTCAATTTACACAGCGCTTTACATATATATATATATATTGTACATTCACATCAGTCCCTAACCCTCAAGGGGCATACAATCTAAGGTCCCTAACTTACATTCATACATACACATACTAGGGACAATTTAGAGAGGAGCCAATTAACCTACCAGCATGTCTTTGGAGTGTGGGAGGAAACTGGAGTACCCGGAGGAAGCCCATGCAGGCACAGGGAGAACATGCAAACTCCAGGCAGGTGGTGCCATGGCTGGGATTTGAACCAACGACGCTAGTACTGCCAGGTGGAAGTGCTAACCATTTATCCACTGTGCTGCCCCATATGAAAAGAGAAAAAAAAAACAGTAATTTGTAAATGACTGAGCTAAAACATATAACACAGTTCCAGAAGCTGTTTTATTTTTCTTTCTTGCATTTCGCATTAGAGTTTTACTATAGCGATTTATCACTTACTGATAACAATGATTATAAGTGATCTGTTAGTGCAGAGGTTCATGAAGGGGCTGGATCAGTATCAGTAAAATAAATAAATAAAAATAAAAAATAAGAAATAAGAACTAATAAAAATAAATACATCAATAAAAAAGATAAGTGCACATTTATTTTTTATTTCTACCTAATTAAAATCTAAGAAATAGAAATAACAATAATAATAATATGGCTACCAAATTTAAATCCTATCCATTCAAAAAAGTGTGTATATACACTATTATTATAGTATTATATATACTGTATATAATGTTACGGTGGACTACAAAATGTAAAAAGTTATACGGTGCAGGTACAAGAGATATCTAATAAAAGAATGTTGTCATCATTGTTCCTATTGGAGAGAGAAAAGTTTAGGAAATATTTTTATTGCTAGCTGTGCCTGCCTTTCCTGGTGACAACTGCTACGGGACTGACGCAGATTTTTACTTTTCCCCACTTTGCCCAAAACATAATAAAACATAATAATTGTTACTGTCATGTAATATGTAGTTACTTAGGTTTTTGTTTCCTTTCTCAGCTATCCACACCGTGGCCCATTTGTTTAATGTGGAAAGACTGGTGGATGCCAGGGTGGAAGCGAATGGCACAATTCAAGCTGCTCTTACTGACCTTGAGGACAGGAATGGTGAATCCTACCTTAACTTCGTCCGATCAAAAGTACCAGTGAGTAGGAAAACAATTTTGGATATTTTGCATAGTGGCTTATTGAACTTTTATTGCTTAAAGGGATTTCAGGGGTTTCTAGCAGTTTAGGAATACCTGCTATGTGTTTACAGTAAAGACATGGCAAGCTGCCAAGATCTGCTCTCATAGAAAAAAGCTGAGATTTAGAACCCTATCCTGGAAGCTAGCTGCAGTTCACCATAGGACCCAGAGGAGGGAGTTTCCATCCCAGGCTGCAAACACCCATCTATCCTTAAAGGGGACCTCTGGCAGGATTAGTTCCTTGATCATCCAGGAGATATCCCTTGAGCTGTATACCATCCAGAGGGAGGATATTCTGTACCCGGCTTACCTCATCTACCATTAAAGGGGATCTCTGATTATACATATTACATGCGTATTTACAATACGTATCTGGTGAGTGCGTATTCTTACCACACCTTTGAGCACATCACTAAGTATTGAAGTTACTTACAGCTGTGATTGACACCTTAGCATGGACAGTCACTTTATGAACATTTTATCCTTGTTATATTTATGTACATCTATTTTAACGGACATAATTTAATTTTAGAGTTGCACCTTGATTTTATATGTTTATTGAGGTTTTATCTGGTTACCTTATTGTGCAATAGCAGCTTCATTTGAGTGCTCACTGATCTCCACTTTTTTATGCTGTTCAAATGTATGGTGTTTGTAGAATCTGGCAGTTAAAGTGAAGAATGTTCTAAACAAAATCTTACTTTTTACAGAATCCAATAGGAGGATTGAATGTGGCATTTACCTTTCTCGCTGGCCTCACTGGAGTAGTGATTACATTGGCTCTTATTCTAATCATTACTTCCTCTACAAAAACAATTCGCAGGTCATATTTTGAAGTGTTTTTTGGTACACACATCATCTCTTTGTCATCTTCTTCATTGGTCTTGTTATTCATGGAGTTGGGTGCGTATTGAATTTGTAGCTGTACTAAATACAACTGCACGTGACTTTTGTAGGCTTTAGTCCAATATGAAATTGCCAGCAAAGTAACAAATAATTTTGTGTAATATTTAACTGTCAATGGAAAACTACCTTTAACAATTGTCACTGCAACCGGTATGCCTTTTGGAAAAAGGAGGAAAAAGGGACACATGGTTCGCAAGAACACAGTTTGAGTGGCTCCGGAAAGGTGGTTTCCACCTTTCTCTGGGGTTTTGTAAGTTACAGATCAGGGTGTGAAACTCAGAGACCTCAAAGTAAATTGGTTGGGAAGAAATTTCCAATTCCAGTGCCAGGATGTGTAGGCAGGTGTTCACAGTCCTTATAGTCTAAGACCTGACAATTGTCTGGTGCTTAACCCGAGAGACAGGAGGTCTCTGCATAGAAGTCTGGAGGACTCCAACCTTCCCCAGGAGTCAGTGAAGCTGCACGGGACCAGCCAGAGCATGTGTTGGTGAAGTTGGTGACAGAGGGCTGGTGAATTTGGTGACAGAGCAGCAAAGAGCTGAAAGATTAAGCTGTGAGAGTGCTTGAGTCCAGAAGAAGAGGCTGAAGTATTTTGTTTTGTGGTTTACAGTGATGGTGGAAACCCCTGCAAGGCAACTTATTTCTCTGTGAATTTGTCACTGGGAAGCACTAACATTGAGCTAATAATTCCTTATTGCATGCATATATATATATATATATATATATATATATATATAGTATAATACATCTCTGCACTAGATGCACATTTACCCATGTCTATGTCTTTACTAAAAACTTCAAGTACAGAAAAATACCCAGTAATCTGCCAGAAATCCAGTGAGCACCTGTTTTAGTTGACAACACAAAATCCCAAGCAGGGTTGTCAGCCCTTGCAGCACCTGTCTCAGCCCTTGCATCCATAACATATATTTGTTATTCTGTAGTCCAGAAGAGAGAACTTAGACAGAGCTGATCAAACTGTGAGTTGTCAGCTCAAACAGGAAGTTAAGAGATCACAGTTTTTAAAGGGATACAACCTTGAAAAATGTGTATGTTTTGCAGTGATGTACTGAATATTTTTTATTTTGCCAGACATTTCCTTTAACCAATTCACACTGGCTGTGCGCATATATGTGGCCTCTCAGTGGGAGGGCCTTAACTCCAAGCAGCCACATAGATGAGGCCCTGTATAAACAACTTACCATGCTAAGAGCTCGCTCCCTGCACGCTCCCATTACAGTAGATCGCCAGAGCTCCCACTGCACGCTTCCTATCGGAGCTTGATGATCACATGGCTACTGTGACAGTCAATCACAGCGGTCACATGACCCGAATGCCTGCTCCGGCATCTAGAAGTTCTGAAATGGCCAGGAGGCATAGGCACGAAGAGGTTAAATTGTATTTCCTTTCAGTTCCTAATGAGGTGGCAGTCACCTGGAGAAACTGATGAGTAGATTTACAAAAACTGGGGTTCTCGGAATCCGGTGCAGCTGTGCATGGTAGCCAATCAGTTTCTAACTTCAGCTTGTTCAATTAAGCTTTGGCAATAAAATCTGGAAGCTGATTGTTTTCTATACAGATTTGCACCAGGTTTTGCACTCTCTAGTAAATAACCCCCAGTGAGCATGGATGTCACCAGAGGCAGTAGAACCCTGAAATGCTTTGTTTATGAAGTAAGAACTATAGGAGTTTGTTTATCATTTCATTCTTTTTTTTTTATTTTTTTATAGGAAGATAGTACGAGGACAGACTTATGAAAGTCTTCAAGTTCATACACCAGAAATATGCAAAAATAATTATACTCGGTGGGGTCAAGATCCCCTATGTCCCATACCCCAATTTAATGGAAATGAACCAGTGGTAAGGTATTTTCTTCTGATAAATGAAGTATAACAATTTTTAGATTGAAATAACAAAATAACAAAATAACTAATTGGCCTTTTCGCCCAATTTGTGGAAATCAGTTAATGGTTTCCAATAAACCTGTGTATAACATTAGATTAGATGAATCTTTGTGTTTGATGAGTAGATCTTTAACAGATTTGCTCATATACAGTATGCCTAAATCTAGTTTTAACTCTTCAACCAAGATTACATGTATCAAAAGCAAATTGATGGTTTCACATACAAGTGCGTGATGGATAAATAAGAGCAGATTACCACCCAAGATGTTTAATTCTCTGCAGTAAGCAGCCATTTGTATGAAAAATTTTAAGGTGGTCATACACAAAACAAATCAAGTGATGCAACAGATTAGAGTTGCTTGACTAGACGACGAAAGAATATTACATTGGTAAATTAGTTTTTTTTCTCCTGGCCATGCAAGCCTTTTTTGTTGCAGGCTGGAATTTTACTGCATGTTGGAATATATCTGCCTAGCCAGTAATACCCTTTTCTATAGAGGAAAGGAAATTAATAGTTTTCTGCTCTTGCATTGTATTCTAACTGGACCTGGCAGAAGGCAACAAAAAGGCCATGGTGCCATGTCATTTAAAAGCATATTTCAACTTTGTACATCCCTGCAATATATGTATATTTCCCGTTTCTTAATCTTTTTAAGCCAGTGCTTAACAAAACTGCTGTAGTGTGCTCCTAACTTCCTCTTTGACATGACAACGCAGTGAATTGCTGGCTCTGAATTCCAAAGCAGTAATGCCAGCCCTGCCTACTTTATTTCTGCAGCATCACAAAGAACTTAAGCCGGCCATAGATGGAGCAATTTTCATTCCTGCAACCACCAATGTTGATGGGGGAATCCTTCCCATGCAGCCATTGTGTTCTCCTGGTGGGGGGGAGATGACTCCGCCAGGAGAACACAGCGATTACTGCTAGCGTATATATTTGATCGATCGATCAACTTCGGTACATTCAGCCTGTGCTTACATGGTTCGAATCTCAACCGTTCCCTGCTGTACCGTCTGAGAATCTCCCTCCTCCCTCCTAATCTCCATAACCTTTCCTTGTGTACAAGCAGAGAGCACAGGAGGTTATCAGCTCACAAAATTTCTGGAAAATCAACAAGAGAATTTTATGCTTATACAACGCAAAGTGCATCACAAAACACTTTCAATGGTATATTTAGAGCAGTGGTCTCCAAACTGCGGCCCGAGGGCCGGATGTGGCCCTCTGCTTTATTTAATCCGGCCCTTGGGGCATTATTCCCTCACGGTCAGCAACAGTGGGGCATAATTCCTGCCACTGACACCAACAATGGGGCACTATTCCTCTCACTGCCACCAACGATGGGGCACTATTCTTTCCACTGCCACCAACGATGGGGCATTATTCCTCCCACTGCCACCAACGATGGGGCATTATTCCTCCCGCTGCCACCAATGATGGGGCACTATTCCTCCCGCTGCCACCAATGATGGGGCATTATTCCTCCTACTGATACTAATGATGGGGCACTATTCCTCCCACTGGCACCAATGATGGGGCACTATTCCTCCCGCTGCCACCAATGATGGGGCACTATTCCTCCCACTGCCATCAAGGACAGGGCACTATTCCTCTCACTGATACCAATAGTGTGATACTAATCCTCCCACTGCCACCAGTAAGGGGCATTTTGTACTGCCATTGACCCCAGGACTTTTTCTACTCCTGCTGGTTACAGCCCCCGAAAGATTGAATGACAGTAAACTGGCCCTTTGTTTAGAAAGTTTGGAGACCCCTGATTTAGAGGACCAAAACTGAGAAATTGACAGTTAGGGTTTACATACACTACAAGTGAAGACAGATTTCCTAGCACACATGATAACCTTTAACTCACAAGTAACCTACTGGCTCTATTTAATTGCCTAATACTGCATTTGAATTTGCAGTTATTTGCCAAATTCCTTTTAAGAATATGCAGTGATTGTTAGCACTTTATGCAGCGATTGTAAGCACTTTCATAACCATTATTATTATAGTGAAAATATAAGATCTAAAAAGAAACGCAGTGTCAGTCCAAAAAAAGAGATTTGCAAAAATATGAAATATCAGTCCAATCCAAAATATGTTGTGCTATCATCCCAGCGATATTCAGCGCCGTGTTTGAATTGTAGCCCCACTCCCTGCTCATCTTGAATTTTCACCTATAAATTATAATAGGCCAAACACATTTTTAGAAGGACTAAGTAGCCTCCAAATTTCTGATCCATATAGTGTTCCTTCCATGTGCTATATCTTCATTGGGCATTTGGCTCCAAAACCGCACAAAAAAACCAAAAAATACACCGTAGTGCAACACAGTTTTTTTTAAATTACTAATTATATGCACTCAGGTATGCACTCACATTAAGGAAAAATTGTGCTCCAAAGTTTAATAATCAAATGGTTGCATTTCTCCACCGTGCCGACTAAATTGTAGTGTTTCCCAACACCGAATAGGTGCACCATACACTCACCTTCTTCCTTGACCTATCAAATAGGTCATACACACTTAGGGATACTGAACAACTTCTGCTGGTTCACTGCTGGTCTTTAGTGGCTATTTACTTGACTCTGGCCCTTTAAGGGAACGTGTGGTATATGATCTTTCACTCCTGCTACCACAAACTGTAATAGGCGTTACACCGTGAATGCATGCAAAAAATATTATGCCGGATATCTATACTGATATGGACTGGGTAATGTGTTAGGAACGTAAGGATGCCCCATTGTTTGTTGGAAATGAAAATTGTCAACTTACAGAGGACTGAATTCAAAGACACTCCGAAAATCAAAGTGAAAAAATGATGCAGCAGGCTAGTCTAATTTTGCTGAAATTTTATATTGCAGCAACTCTAAATGGTACTCAGTAGTTTGTATGTCAAGGTGTCATTATCTAGCCTGTAGAGGTCTGTGCGTTCTGCCATGGATGTGCCTCCCCAGACCATCACTGACCCACCACCAAAACTGTCATGCTGAACAATGTTACAGGCAGCATAATGTTCTCCATGACTTCTCCAGACCCTGTCACATCTGTCACCTGTGCTCAGGGTGAACCTGCTCTCAACTGTGAAAAGCACAGGGTGCCAGTGGCGGACCTGACAATTCTGGTTTTCAATCGCAAATTCCAATTGAGCTCTATGGTGCCGGGCAGAGGGTACAGGGCCCGAAATTGACAGGGATCTGCTCCTACTTCCTCTTCGATCGCCTAGGCGATTGAAAGCAGAAATTGTCCTCCCCCCTCCCTCCCCGTAGTATTCTGGGACACGTGACAGGTTCCAAAAGAGTATGGGACCATTCACAAAGCACAGCATACTCATGCATTCGCAGTGAGCAGTGAAGCCGCAAGCTATCACAGCTGGGTGCCCACACTGAAGATGCCAGCGCCAGGAACACAGGGCGGCTGGTGAAACGTGCTGCGTGCAGGACACCGCAGAACCAAGGGACAGGTAATTGTCCATTTTTTAAAAGTCAGCAGCTACAGTTTTTGTAGCTGCTGACTTTTATTTAATTTTTTTTTTTCACTGGAGCTCCTATTTAAACTCGAATATGAAAACAAGAATACGATTAAAATATCAAATGGATATTCTTGAAATGAAAATTCTCGAATTAAAATCTATAGGTGTATGGCCAGCTTAACGATTAGAAAATCAAATGGATATTCTTGAAACTAATATTCTCGGCCAAAAATCTACATGTGTATGGCCAGCCTTAAGCTCTGTGCACACGATGAGAATATCGGACGAACGATCATTTTTTTTTGCCTGCTAGTCTCACATCAAAAGTGAAAAGGTTATTAAAGATACAAAAATTCTCATCCAAAAGAAAAGAAGATCGAAAGTGATGTCATGTATTTGTATTGTATTTTCGGACGTTTGCTGTACTTAATAAACGAAAATCATACGATTTGGTATCGTACGTAAAAAAATTGTCTTGATCAGCTATCGAAAGCTATGTATTAACGATCCAATTATCGGACAATTGGTCCTTGTACAAACATTTTCATATTGTGTGTATGGGGCATTAAGCTGGCCATACACATGTAGATTTTCGGCCGAGAATATTCGTCAAAAAAGTCGTACGAAAATTCTTTGCACATTCGATGAATGGACAAATGTCGTTCCAAAATTGTCTTTTGCTTTTAACATTCGATTTTAAAATGAATATAATTTCTGAATAATCACCACATACACTGGCCAAAAATTATTTTGATCGAGAAAAGTTTTCCTTCGTGCCCTCAAATTTTTCCGTCAATGGTGTAGAAAACAAATATCGATTTGACCCTACTAACAGTTAGAAAATCAAAAGAATATTCTTGAAATTAATATTCTCAGTTGAAAATCTGTACATGTATGGCAAGCTTTACTTTTCAAATTCTGTTGATTTTTTTTTTCGAATTCGGTTTAAATCTTTTAGATTTTGAACAACTTTTTGAATTTTGTTGAATTAATTAAAAATTCGGTAGAGCCAATTTTGAATGTGAACGACTTTTCACATTTGGTCGTAAAGTTTTCAAATTGAATTTGAATACAAATTATTGAAACGAATTCCGAAAACGAACTGAACGAATTTACTGAACCCAACTACACAAAATTTGTTAGATTTCAAATCAAAATGAAACAAAACAAAATGTTTTGCTTTGCACATGTCTAAGAGTAACTGCCTGTCTCCTGGAATCTCCTCCATGCTCTTGAGACTGTGCTGGCAGATACAGCAAACCTTCTGGCAATGGTACGTATTGATGTGCCATCTTGGAGGATATGGACTACCTGTGCAACCTATGTAGCGTGCAGGTATAGCCTCATGCTACCAGTAGTGACACTGACCCTATCCAAATGCAATACTAGTGAAAAACAGTCAGAAAAGATGAGTAGGGAAAAAAAATGTCAGTGGCCTCCACCTGTAAAATCATTCCTGTTTTGGGGGTCATCTCATTGTTGCCCATCTAGTGCACCTGTTGTTAATTTCATTAACACCAAAGCAGCTGAAACTGATTAACAATCCCCTCTGCTAGTTAACTGACCAGATCAATATCCCAGGACTTTAATTGACTTGATGCTATACTCTGATTAAAAAGTGTTCCTTTAATTTTTTTCAGCAGTGTATATTAGGCTGATTTAAACTGAGAGTTTGAGTGGGCTTTACATTTAGTACGTCTGCTCAGTCTTTGGCTGCTTTCTAAAGACAATAAACTCGCCTTTCTCAACCTTTTCAACACAGAGGAACCCTTCAAATAAATTTACGGGCACAGGGAAGCCCTGCTAAAAATTTCTAGATCTGCAACGGATGATACATTAGTGTGATGGTCAGTGGATAGAATGCTCCTTACATTGGTGGTCAGTGAAAAGAATGCTCCTTACACTTGTGGTCATTGGGAAGAAGGCTACTTACATTGGTGGTCGGAGAGAAGAATGCTCCTTATACTTGTGGTCATTGGGAAGAAGGCTGATTACATTGGTGGTCGGAGAGAAGAATGCTCCTTACACTTGTGGTCATTGGGAAGAAGGCTGATTACATTGGTGGTCAGAGAGAAGAATGCTCCTTATACTTGTGGTCATTGGGAAGAAGGCTGATTACATTGGTGGTCAGAGAGAAGAATGCTCCTTACACTTGTGGTCATTGGGAAGAAGGCTGATTACATTGGTGGTCGGAGAGAAGAATGCTCCTTATACTTGTGGCCATTGGGAAGAAGGCTGATTACATTGGTGGTCGAAGAGAAGAATGCCCCTTACACTTGTGGTCATTGGGAAGAAGGCTGCTTACATTGGTGGTCAGAGAGAAGAATGCCCCTTACACTTGTGATCATTGGGAAGAAGGCTGATTACATTGGTGGTCGGAGAGAAGAATGCTCCTTACACTTGTGGTCATTGGGAAGAAGGCTGATTACATTGGTGGTCGGAGAGAAGAATGCCCCTTACACTTGTGGTCATTGGGAAGAAGGCTGCTTACATTGGTGGTTGGAGAGAAGAATGCTCCTTACACTTGTGGTCATTGGGAAGAATTACCCCCTTACAGATATCTAAAAAGATCAATGGTGTCAGTGGGAACTTATCTGAGAGGCAGAAATTGCTCATTGCAGAAGGAACCCCTATAGACCTCTGGAGGAACCTTAGGGTTCCATGGAACCCTGGTTGAGAAACCCTGGAATAAACTGTAAGACCTTGCACACCTTTTGCACATGCCCCTGAAATGTATTTGGCTGATTTAAACATAGAGCTTAGTTGGACTTTAAGGGTCAGTTCACACTAAATGCGTTTCAGTTGCGTTTTTTCTGCATCCAAAATGCACAGAAAGTAGGTTATATGGTTGTCAATGCCATAGTTCACATCAATGCTTGCAGTTCCAGTGAGTTCCGATTGCAGAAAAAAAAAGTAGAACAGGCATTTTTTCTGCACAGAACTGTACTGGAACGCGGTAAAACACACCAAAAACGCACTGGAACACACTGGAATGCACAGGTCCCTATTTAAATTGAAAAAAAGAAAGGGGGGAAAATGTACTGGAATGCATAAAAAAATTAACTGGAATGCGTCAAAAAATGAATCAAAAACGCACTAGAACACGTCAAAACACGCATGCAAAAACGCATCCGGAATGCATCTGGACTGTGTTTCTATAGTGTGAACCGGCCCTAAGGCTGGCCATACACTAAACAATTTTCTTTAGAAAATGCTTTAGATTTACCAAAAAACATATAATATGAGGTCAAACCTAAACAACACTTTCAATTGTATCCAATTAGGTGGGCACTTGCACTACACAGTTGAAGGTAAATCTAAATAAAATTGGGCAGGAAATTGTATAGTGTATGGCCAGCCTAAAAGTGTTCCCTTTTTTTTAAAAGTCATAAGTAAAACAGGCACCTGCTATATAAAAATAATGATTTGCGATATTTCTTAATTGGGTAAAACGTTGTAGTTAGGTAACTTCCTAAATTAGCACTTCAGTGATAAACAATCATTTTGTTATGCAATACTTCACCTTATGACTTCATCCAAATAAACATGAAAAAGCACCGAACATTTTCTGTACTTGCAGCTACGTTATTATAATTACCAAATTAGGTACACTTTCATTCTTTGTTCTTTGTTGTCTGTTGATAAACTATCAGTTACATCAGAGCTTTCTAAACCATTGACAAAGTGTTGAGTTCAGTTTTCTTTTTCTGTTTTTTTAAACCTACTTATCTGAATGGATGTTATTGCATAATATGAAATACATGTCGTGGAGTAATATTAAATATTTGCCGGGTAAAAAATGGTAATAAACGGCCCTAGACAAATGGATACTAAACTGTGCTACTGTTTTACAGTGACTGAAATCTAGGCACTTTCCAAGTATTTTCATGTGCAAAAAAAGCCATACATTTTATTGCAGCCAAATGTTTTGGTTGGGGCACAGCCTACCTTTTTAATTGTTTTTCAGTAATTTAATAATATTTATTCTTCTTTTTAATCAATGTTTTACAGGATTAAATGCTTGTATGTAACCACAGTTGTTTTCTTCTTAGACATGGAAATGGGTAGTAGCCCCAATGGCCCTCTATGTCATTGAAAGGCTTATACGATTTTGGAGATCACAACAAAAAGTTGTAATTACAAAGGTAAGTGTGTGCATTTTGCTATGCTGTTGACATATGTAAAGAGGAATAAACATAGTGCATTTCGTTATGATTTGTTTTTCAGATAAAAAATTTCATTTTCGGAGATTTGGATGTTTTTGAATCTTTGAATGGATGTAGTAACGAATGTCAGTGAAAAAAAAGTTATAAACAAAATTAAAGTGGAACTGCACTGCATCTGAGCGCCACAAACCTAAAATGTTATTTAATTAATTTGTAATATTCAAAGCAAACTCACCCATGCCTCCATGTCTATCTACATGCTTTATTTTGCTGAGAAATCACTTTGAAAAAACACATCCTTTCCTTTCTGACCGTGGCCATCTTGAGTAAGAGCAGATTATTCATGTATCATTTACTTCCTGGAATCCATCTGCCCTTAGCTTAGTCATAGGCTGAGCCAAGAACCCTCTCTCTCTCTCCTCCTGAAGACTCCTGCGATGTATGACAAAATTTGCCTAGGCAATAAAACCAGGAAATAATTGAAGAAATGTAAAACAAATCTTTAAAACAAGTAAATATGATATACTTTCCTATTTATTTATGAATGCTAGCAGCATAAGGATTAAAAATAGCCCATGCTGATTGAAATGCATTAGTGTCATTTGTTTCATTCAGATAACTTTACATGATGCAAAAGTAGTTCGGGCCTATGGGGAAATTAATTCAGTTTTCAAATTTGTTAGTTATTTCGAATTAGAATAGATCCGAAATTTTGATCCATTCATTAATTTGGATGCACATAACGCCAGTCCATGTTGCCAATCAGCACTTGCCATTTCTCTTGGTGGGCTGGACTAGCGTCTGAAAATATTGAATCCTGTCGATTCAGATCTGTCCGATTTGATAATATATAGGATATATAGCAGTCTTCCGGAAAAACTACAACATTTTTCGAATCCATCCAAACCAACGAATATACAAAACAAATGCCGAAGACACAAAATGAAACAAATCCTGAAACAAATCAGTTCAACATAACGAATATGACACAATGGAATTCTTCAATGAACAAATGCACTGAAACGAAAATTTCTGGTGTGCACGGAATGTCTAAATACACCAAATGTATGAAGGATCTTTTTTACTTAGAAGCATTCTGGTTTATTGTATTATTTAAATTCAGTTTTCATGTTCAGTCCTGAATTGTTTTAAAATTTTAGGCCTTTTTATGGTTCTGAAAAACCAAAGGACCGTACTGACTATACTGATCCACTACTGTTTTAGGTTGTTACACATCCCTTTAAGACATATGAACTGCAGATGAAAATGAAAGGCTTTAAAATGGAAGTTGGCCAGTATGTCTTTGTACAGTGTCCTGCCGTATCCAGTCTAGAGTGGCATCCTTTTACTTTGACTTCTGCCCCAGAAGAGGACTTCTTCAGCATTCACATTAGAATAGTTGGAGACTGGACTGAAGGATTGTTTAAAGCCTTGGGATGTGACAAGACTGAAACTCAGGAGGCTTGGCAGCTGCCTAAGTAAGTGTTGTGAAACTGAATCAATTCACATTTTGTTACTGTACAATGTATTATGGAATTTTCAAATTTGCTTGTAGTTGTTCACTATAAAATTTTATAATTTATTATGTAGATTTGGGCACAAAGGTTTGCTTTAGGCTCCTTTCACACTTGCGACCAGAGGTGGTTGATCCACTTGGATGGGTACACATTGCTGCGGCCACAATGATCTGCAATTTCAATGCTACATGCTGAATTTTTAAAGCCTGTCAAACTCTAATGCAGGGGCGTCAAACTGGCAGCCCTCCAAATGTTGCGAAACTACAAGTCCCATCATGCCACTGCCTTTGGGAGTCATGCTTATAACTGTCAATCTTGCCTCATGGGACTTATAGTTTGGGCAACAGCTGGAAGGCCGCCAGTTTGACACCCGTGCTCTAATGTAAGGAAGAATAGGGCCCAACTGCAAGCCAAATGCTTGCCGCATTCCCACGATGCAAACACACACAGCTTTTGTGATATACTCCTGTATATGTACTGTAGTTACATAGTTAGTCTGGCTGAAAAAACCTACAAGTCCATCTAGTTCAACCATAAAACATACATTGTACGTTTACCATAATAAAAGATGGTCAGATCTGTTGAAAACACAGCCAAGCCACACTCAAGTAGACCAGATATTAGGTGGCTCAAAGTGCAGTTTTTTAGAAGTATTTTTAAAAGTATTTTTAATGCTTGCTGTTTTTCCTTTTCCTGACTTTTATTCATCTTCAATGCGCCTTGAGCTTGCTAGAAAAATGATTAGTCAATGCCTTAGTACAGCCTCCTCCCTTTATGCAAGTAATAGCCGTCTCCTCATTTGGAAGTCTCTAAATACGCTCTGTGCTGGCCAAGCTCCTCTGCTCACCCCTGACCTACCAACATAACCTTTTATGTAACCGCTTGGGGAGGAGTGAAGGTTGATACTATAGAGTGTCAATTGAGTGACAGTTCTGAGTCTGCTGACATCACATCCAAAAGCAGTATCAGGACTTTTGAATCTCTACACAAGGAAGACTTTACAGATCAAAATATTTTAAATGCACTTTTTTTTGTAATTTTAAGAAAAGTTCATATTTAAGGAAATCCTAATGCAGTAGTATAGAAGATAAAGTGTTTGATTTTGTTCCCCAGAATTTCCATAGATGGTCCATTTGGAACAGCAAGTGAGGATGTGTTTGACTATGAGGTTGCTATGCTGGTTGGAGCAGGAATTGGAGTTACTCCGTTTGCTTCTGTCTTGAAGTCTGTCTGGTATAAATACCTCAACAATGTGTCAACTCTAAGGTTAAAAAAGGTAATTACATTTGTTGGGAGAATAATGTGAAACTACTTTTTTTTCTTTATACTGGTAACTAACAGAACTATCAGTGAATACAGACATTGTTAATGGTAGAAATAGAAACAATAGATAAAATATGCCAGAGAGCCATACTCATCATTAACAGAAACCTGTCATAAACCTTTTGTTTCAAACACATTCAAAACTAAGCATATGATGAAACAAAGCATATGCGGAAGTCACCTTGTGTCGAAACCATTTATACAAATAATCAGTGGATTTAAAGATATAGCCTATTGAATTATATGAGAATATTGGATTCTTCTGTTGAGTTGAGTTTGGTTTGCTCTCTTAAAGTCACTATATTGGTTGATTGATGGCTGCATTGAGCAATAGAGAGGTTTGGGAAGTGATCGACAGCAGTGCCACACTTGTTTACAGAAGAATGCTATATGACTTCAGCTGTGGTTTTCACCAAACGTAAAACCTCTGCTTAGCCCTTTTTCACCATAAGCTTAGAACTTTCCACATTTGTTGATTGTTTTATTCTGCAAGCTGATAGCAGGCAACTGTATTTGCATTGTCTGAGCCTGCATATGCCTTGTATTGTAGTTTAACCAAGACTAGTGACCATGCATTAATATCATAACCTACCCTACAGAAGTCAAGTTTAAACTGAATTGAACTGCCTAAATGCACTGAACTAGATTTAGGTTCCATTTATTTTTAAAAGGACCAGTTATCTCATCTGCTTAACACAAGACAAAATCTATTTTATATGTTTTTTTTTTTGCTTTATGTTCCTAAACTAAAGAAAGGGTAGTAGCCAGCAAACTGCAACTGAAAAAGCTCCAGCATCATACTTTAATCACAAATTTACATAATGCAGACGTAAAGTGGTTCCAAAGGCTCAAGTTTTTTTTACCTTCATGCATTCTAGGTAAAAAAACCTTCTTTGTGCAGCCCCAGTCCCTTCCAATCCTTACCTGAGCCCCCCCCCCCGATCTAGCGAAGTTCACGAGAGCCTCTAATGTAAGGGGACTCTACCTCCTAATTGGCTGAGGCAGAAGCAGGACTTCTGTCAATCACAGTCAGTGAGCCAATGAGGAGAGAGTGGGGGGGTGGGGCTCTATGTGTCTTATGGACGCATAGAGCAGTGGCTTGGGGATGAGCATGTGCCCCCAGGACAAGTGTTTTTCTCTGGGGGCACTGCTCTAGGAGGAGGAGCCAGGAGGACTGACAGGGACCCAAAAAGAAGAGTATTAGGGCTGCTCTGTGCAAAACCATTGCACAGAGCAGGCAAGTATAACATTATGGTATTTAAAAAAACCTCGAAGCTTTAATGTCACTTTAAAGTGTACCTAATGACATTTTTTAAAATGTATTTTTTAAGAGTGGGGAAGGATTAGAACCCCTGTTTTAATTGCTCTCTTTGTCCCCAATGGAGAGGTTCATTCTGTCTATTCATATATAGATATTAAAGAAGTTGTAAACCTCAGAAAAGAAATATGAACAAAGCATATCCTCCTGTAGTGTGTAAGTGTCTCAATTAAGAACATTAAGTGTTATTTCTCTCTACTACCTTGTTCCTCTATCACTCCTGACAAGTTTTCCTGAGACCCAGAGAAAAATGTCACAAGGGAGGGACCTCCAGCAGATTGACAGCCTCAGCTTTGTTCCTGTGAGTTGTGTTCCTTCCCTCCAATTGACTCTCAGAGCACTCCTCAATGAGCATTGCAGTGTGTAATTTCAGCTCTCCTCCCCCTTTTTTAAACTCTCAGGCAAGCTGCATAATTGCAGCACTTTGAATGGATGTAGAGAAGAGATTGTTGCAGATAAACAGATACAACTTATGTAGAAGAATTTGTTTCATCTCTGTGTATCACCTGAGGCCAGTCACTTCACTGGGTATATGTAAGGGTTTACAACTACTTTAAACATCGTCAGCAGGACTGGAAGTGAGGAAGAGTCCAAATATTTGAGTTATCACCAGAAGTTTTCTCACTTGCTAAAGTGACAATTGTTTAAGAGAGGGTTTCACACCTCTTATTTACATTTGTGTTTATGGGACGGGTGTAAAGAGAAATCTCTCTAATAGGACACAGGCACAAAAAAATAAAATACTTCCCTACTCTTTCTAAAAATTAAATTTTAAAAAAATGTTTTGGCTTTATGTACACTTTAATCATTACAAAAAATGGCAATGTTGGCACTTGGGGGTTTATTTACTAAAGCTGGAGAGTGCAAAATTAGGCTCACTTCTGCATAGAAACCAATCAGCATAAAAACTCAGCTTGTTCAGTTAACTACTTCAATACCGGGCACTTATTCCCCCTTCCTGCCCAGGACAATTTTCAGCTTTCAGCGCTGTTGCACTTTGAATGACAATTGCGCAGTCATGCAACACTGTACCCATATGAAAATTCACACAAATAGAGCTTTCTTTTGGTGGTATTTAATTACCACTGAGTTTTTTATTTTTTGCTAAATAAAACAAAAAACACCTGAACCTTTTGAAAAAAACGCACTTTTCGTCATTTCTCTTTTGCAAATAAATAACATTTCTTCATAAATTTTGGTCAAAATGTATTCCGCTACATTTCTTTGGTGAAAATAATAATAATAATTGAACTTATCGTATTTTTTCCGCACCATAAGACGCACTTTTTTCCCCCAAAAAAGGGGGGAAAATGTCAGTGCGTCTTATGGAGCGAATATGGAGCGGCCGGTCCGGTATTTCCACTGCCGCCGTGTCAGAATACCGGGCCGGCCGCTCAGCTCTACAGCGGGACCTTATAGAGATGACTGCTGACCTTTGGGGAGGGGGGGGAGCGGGTACCTGAATTTGACAGATACCTGCTCCCACTTCCGTGGAGTTGTTCTTTCATCTTACCCGTTCCTCTATCAAGCGGCGCGGTCTTCCCAGCTTCTGTAGTGTGGGCATGACAGCCGGGTGCCAAGTGCGCATGCGCAGGAAGCGGTGCTTTTTGTGAATGGTAAGGCGGCACCTGGGACACATGACAGATCCCAGAAGCCGCCGGACCAATCACAAAGCGCAAGTGCTTCTCGCTCATGCGCACTGGGCACCCGGCTGTCATGCCGAGCGCCATTACAGAAGCCGGGAAGACAGCGCGCGGCTGGATAGAGGAACAGGTAAGATGAAAGAACAACTCCGCGGAAGTGGGAGCGGGTATCTGTCAAATTCAGGTACCGCTCCCCCCCCTCCCCAAAGGTCAGTAGTCATCCCCTGTACTATCCACAGTCTCTGGTCTATCCCTGTGCAGTCCGCAGTCTCTGGTCATCCCTGTGCTGTCCGCAGTCTCTGGTCATCCCCTGCGCTGTCCGCAGTCTCTGGTCATCCCTGTGCTGTGTCCGCAGTCTCTGGTCATCCCTGTGCTGTCCGCAGTTTCTGGTCATCTCTGTACTGTGTCCGCAGTGTCATCTGTACTGTGTGTCCGCAGTCTCTGGTCATCCCTGTACTGTGTCCGCAGTCTCTGGTCATCCCTGTACTGTGTCCGCAGTCTCTGGTCATCCCTGTACTGTGTCCGCAGTCTCTGGTCATCCCTGTACTGTGTCCGCAGTCTCTGGTCATCTCCTGTACTGTGTCCGCAGTCTCTGGTCATCTCCTGTACTGTGTCCGCAGTCTCTGGTCATCTCCTGTACTGTGTCCGCAGTCTCTGGTCATCTCCTGTACTGTGTCCGCAGTCTCTGGTCATCTCCTGTACTGTGTCCGCAGTCCGGTCATCTCCTGTACTGTGTCCGTCCTGCAGTGGTCGATGGTCTCCTGTACTGTGTCCGCAGTCTCTGGTCATCTCCTGTACTGTGTCCGCAGAACTCTCTGGTCATCTCCTGTACTATGTCTGCAGTCCATTACTATGTCTGCAGTCCATTAGTTCAAATTTTTTTTTTCCTGTTTTCTGCCTCTAAAACCTAGGTGCGTCTTATGGTCAGGTGCGTCTTATGGAGCGAAAATACGGTATATTTTTTTTCAAATGTTTCTATTATTTTTTGTTAAATTTTTTCTTTTTTTTTACTATTTTATTTTTCAGCACACTGTGACCAAAGCAATACAATGTTACCATAGTAAGATTGAACTACTCTGGGCAAGTGATCAGGATTTTTTTTTTTTTTTAACACATTATGATTGCTAATGCCAATGTATTTCATTGATATTTGCAATCTTTGTTACTGAATTAAACTGATTCATTCAGTCTTTTGTTGTGATTAGCTGTGATTGGGTAAAGCTGATCACATGATACAGATGGGCTGTGATTGGCCCTGTGTGTATCATGTGACTGCCTTGACCAGTCACAGCTAACAACATAATTGTATACAATGGATGGCATGACAGGAAGCCATCCATTGTATACAATTGACGTGATCTGCTGTGATTGGTCACAGCGGTCACATGAAAATGGCAACGGGCTAGTGTAGCGATATGTCATCAGCTGAGCCCCGCGGCCGCGTGAGCTGGTCATTTTGACAGGATGTTATATGACGCCCAGTTACAATGGCGAGTGTCCCGCTTGGCCGTCAATCTGCTATAGGTCGGGCGGGGAGGTGTTAACCTTTGCCAATAAAACCTGGAAATGGATTGGTTTCTATGCAGTGAGTATATTTTTGCACTCTCCAGCTTTAGTAAAAGACCCCTTATTGTCTGTCAGGACAATAGGGACCTAAGCTACAAGAATAACTTTTTTCTGTCTTGGCTGTTTTTCGTATGTTTTAGATTTATTTCTATTGGCTGTGCCGAGAAACCCAAGCTTTTGAATGGTTTGCTGATTTGCTGCAATCCCTGGAGACTCAAATGCAAGAAAAGAACAATCCTGATTTTCTCAGCTACAACATCTACCTTACTGGATGGGATGAAAGTCAGGTAAACTTTATCAAGTTTTCTTTTCAGCAATTCCATTTATTAGTTTGCTAATGTAAATGTAAGTGATTATGATCATTCATTCCTAATGGTTCAGTACAACCTAAACTAACTGAGATTAATTGACTCTTTTCTAGACAATTCATAGGGAGGTTTCTGCAGTTACATCTCCTAGCTGCACTTCATTATCCTGCCCCCACAGCCCACCAAGAAGTCTCCTTTGCTTAGAGGCATCTTATTAGTCTTGTTTGTAAAGTACACAATGTACACATAAACAAAAGCAGATACCACAATTCCAATACTCAAATTATCAGAACAATGTTTTTCTTGCAAACATAAAATCCAATACTCTTGAAAGTTGTAAAGTAAGTCATGCAAAAGACTGGGTCTGTTCAAATGCCATGAGCAGGCTGGGAATTTATTTATAAGAGTAGAGCAACATGGTTGCAACTAGAAAATAAATGCTAAGGACTTATTCACACCAGAAACTGCACGTAACTGCGCATTCTTTCCTTGTACCTATGCATGCATTTGACGCGTGTTTTACATGCAGTTGAGGTACACTTTTCTATCTGCATTCAACCTGTGAGGTCACTTTCTTTCCTTGGGCTGTTATGCACACTGTGATGCATTGCAGTGCGTTTGCATACATTTTTGCGTGTATGTGGTGCGGAAAAAGGTAGCATGCTGTACTTTTCTGCACTGTACTGCACTGCAGTGGTGGGAACTATGCCCATAGGATAGCTTAGATTTTGTCTATGCAGTTGGAGTGCAGTCCAAAATGCATCCAACTGCATCCCATTGCATTAGGTGTGAAAGGGCCCTAACTAAAATTGAAACAAAATGTTGATTGTTGATATATGCACCCATTGTTTTTCTTTTTGCCCCAGTTTTTGTAAGGCCCCGTAGACACATGTGTTTTGTATGCACACCTGCGCTTTGAGTTATGCCAAGTTTAGCACTGTTTAGGCATCAACATAACACAGAATATTATTATTACAGGTAGTTATATAGCAATGTCAATTTACACAGCACTTTACATGTATATTTGCACATTCACATCAGTCCCTAACCCTCAAAGAGTTTACAATCTAAAATCCCTAACTCACATTCATATACATACTAGGGCCAATTTAGACAGGATCCAATTAACCTACCAGCATGTCTTTGGAGTGTGGGAGGAAACCGGAGTGTGTGGGGGAAACCCACATAGGCACAGGGAGAACATGCAAACTCCAGGCAGGTAGTGCTGTGGTTGGGATTCGAACCAACAACCCTAGTACTGCCTAAGAGAAGTGCTAACCACTTAGATTAGCACTGAATAATATGTAAGGCAAACCTCCTGTACAGATAAATTGGATCTGATGAATGCTGTCTTTAGCTGAAGGTCTGCTATAAATGATACAATTGTAAAATCTTTACATTACCATGTGACATTATCTCCTGTCCTTTCAATTAAAATTATCAGCCATTGTCAAAACTGATGCAAACCGTGTCCTAATTGTTCTAACAAGAGTCACAGATGACTCATTTTTCTTCGTTCAACCAGCGGGTTGAACAGATAAAAAAAAATTAAATTCCATCCACACATTTGAGCTTTCCCCCACTGAGCTATTGTATTGTGATGGTAGGGAGACTTCCCCATCATCAAAATACACTGATTAGCACTGCTGGCTATAGCTGACAGCGTTGATCGAGCTGGTAAAATACGACAGGGCGGTTGTACGTAAGTCAGTTACATGAGTCCCTGCTGAACCGGATGAATTTCAATCCATGTATGACCAAGTACACAAAGTAGTAGAAGATCCATAACATCCACAAAAGATTGAAGCTGCTATTGTGGGTGAACTGACCATTCAATATACAGTACATATACTAATTAGTAAAAATAGTCAAAATGAGTTAAAATGACTGTCACCACAGAACAAAAATGAAGACACAGCCATGCCTTAAAAAACTTTAGACTTAGCTTTTCAGTGGGTGGTGTGTTAGATCTTTGCTTTCCTGAAAAGCTTGGGCCACCACTGCTATCCAACACTTCTGGGTGTGTCAATTGTGTTCCCCCTGAGTGCTGTGGATCCTCCTGTTGACTCTTACATCAATACTAGTGATGTAGGTGGTCAGTGGTAGGAACCATAGTGCTCAGCAGGGGGCACTGTATCAGACACACCCAGCAGTGTCAATAAGCAGCAGTGCCCAGAAATCTTCATTAGAGTGAAGATTTAACACACCACCCAATAGAAAAGTAGGTATAAAGCATCTTTTTACATGGTATATGTGTTTTCATTTTTGTTTAGTGGTGGAATAATTGCTTTAGATATTAAACCAGTGTGTGCAGTGTTATATATACCACATGGGAATTATATTTGATTTCCCCATGCCCACAGACTAATTTGTTCAAATTAACTTGCACATAACAAGTAGAAGTCCACATAATAAAATATGATTTGCTTCTGTTTTGCCTTTTTTGCCCCTCATCTCTAAATTTGGCCATGGGCCACGTTTTACAAATATTAGCTGGTTGTAATCAATGGGGATCTTTTTTGATCTTAAGGCCACTGCATTCTCATTGCACCACGACCAAGAGAAGGATGTGATCACTGGACTTAAGCAAAAGACCTTGTATGGAAGACCCAATTGGGAAAATGAGTTCAAGAATATTAGCAGTGCACATTCAAGGTAAGTCTCACTACTAAGTATGCGGACAGTATTTTGGATTTAGCCTAATGGAGCTAGTATGACTTACAAAACAGTAAGGTAAACTAAACTAACATTTCCGTTTTGATCGAATGCAAGCAGGTTTATTCAGTTATCCATGTTTTGCTTCACATAATCACTAGATGCTTGCGGTCTATATATTAATGATCTCAGACACAGTTCCCCATGATGTGAGAATTTCAACACAGTAACTGAGAACTGTGCGCACCGCTCGTTTTGAGACCCTCCAGTCCTCGGTACTGGCAGGTATCAGAGTAACGATCAGGAAGTAATCAGTGTGGTTCTCTGTCATGTGTTCACTATGGAAGTCGATATTCTTGACCACAAGTAGGGTGGAGAGGATTGCTTAAAAATGTTTTTAATTTTTTTCGATTATTAGCTAACAAGAAAAAAAAATAAATGTGCAAGGTAGTTATAGAAAAACCATGTACCCTGAAACCTTATATGCCCTTAAACTGCGTAAAAAGTTTTTAGTTACGCAACTTTGTCACAGAGTTATTGCACAGGTAACCAATGAATATTGAAACAGCTAAAAATTGGTCTGGACATCTACTGTAAACTTTAAAGACCTCTGGTCATGCAGGGAATAAAGCTCCAGATAAGGGATCCCTCTCCTGAGTTCCTGGATCCACCCTTCAGCTGCAGCAAGAGCCAATGTCTCTCATCTCTCTTTTTGCAGTTTTTTTTTTTCTTATTCAAGTACAAGTGCATTTTCACTATAAATTGTACATGCATTGCTTTTTCGTTGCTTTCTATTGTGAAAAAATAGCAGTTTAATTTCTTGAATTAACATAAGAGATATAGTCCATTTCCGTCAACATGGACTAGTCTTTGCTGTTAGTGGTGTCTGGTATTTTCAGTAGAGCAGTAGGCAATGAGAGGAAGTGAACCTGAAATAAATGGGGACCAATCAGCATATGCTTACATTTAAGCCCTGTGTGAAATCATCCTCCTTTTTAATATAGGATACATAAGAATACAGAAAAATTAAACATAATATTACCCAATTGTGTAGTCAATTCAAAAAAATCGAAACAATACTAAAATGATAAAAGGTACCCAAAGACAAGTATATCTAAACCCAAAAGCAAAGATATAATATATTGTAGCCTATCGAATCTTAAATGTGGTGGGTACATTCGTCTTCTGTTTTTTAACTTTTTTCTTTATTTTTACCTGGTGATCTGGGCAGTAATTCTGAAATGTTTCTGTTTCTCTAAGGCCCCTTTCAGATGGGGTGGACCCATCAGTTGATCCACTTCTTCAGTGGGAGATCTGTCCACTGATCCCCGCTGAGCAAGCGGGTGACAGGTCTGTGTCTGCTCTGCTGCCTGCTGCAGAGCTGACACAGACACAGCCCGTTGGTTTTCGCCTGTCTGTTTCCACTCGACTGTCATCTAATCCAACTCGCTGCATGGATGGGTAACAGATCCCCATCTGTCTGTTTTAGCGTACAGGATTGGATCAGATGCCAGCGGGTGTTAGCGGACACAATTCTGTTGACACCTGCTGCTCCATAGAGAGGTATGGATGGTCCAATCAGGTCCGCCTGAAAAACTGACAGGCAGACCCGAAATGACTGTCAGTGTGAAAAAGGCCCAAAAGACAAAAACTGTCTAGCAAAAGTGGCAGTTAGAGGGTTGAGACGAGCCATTTAACACTGACAGGGATGCTTACAGTGGCCAGCTTTTAGTAATTGAAGTAAAACCTTTATCCCAAAAGAAAAAAAAAATTAATTCATTAGTGAATTTTATTTAAATTTGTTACTGCATCTAACTTTACCCTCTCCACAGGTTGACAGTACTGCGATCTAAAGCCTAGTACACACTATCAGAAAATCGTACGAAAAATACCGCTTTTGAAGCGATCGTACATTAATCTGATCGTTAGTACATAGATTTCGTCCGAAAGAGACAAATTTTCCTCGTACAATACGAGATCAGTTTGAAAATACAATACAATACATTGTGTAACTTTTGAGTTTTTATTCTGTTGTACAAGAAGTTTTGTAACTTTGGCAACTTCTTCATTTTCAATATGAGACTAGCATGCAAAAAAAAAAAAAACAAGATCATTCGTCTGATGTTCTCCTCACATGTACGTGACTTAAGGCTGGCTCCTTAGCTCCTTTAGAGTGTAGTCATATTAAGAAAAGAAGTGTGTTACTGGCTGAATCACCAGATAAAAATTAAGTTAAAAAAAAAAAATGAATTGCAGCCACCACATTTAGCTACCGATAAGCTGCAAAACATGACATTTTTATTTTTGAGTTTAGAAATGCTGTAAGACGTTCATCACCGAATCTAATAATTTTTGTGGGTAGCTGCAGGCAACTGTGGTCATCCACTCTTGGCAATCAGCCCTTTTAAACAGTTTTTCTTTACTATTGTTTCCAAATATTTAATCCAGTGCTGGAGGTGTCAGGTTGACCTCCCACCAGCATGGATATAAACATGCACACATGGGAGATCCAGGCAAACTTGTTTACAGACTGATTGTCTTTTTCAGATGTACATTCTAATATCAGCTGTAGAGCCACTAACCAACTGACCCTGTACAAAACAATATACTGTATACTTTTTTTCTTTGCTTCCAAGTTCCAGAGTGGGTGTTTTTCTGTGTGGACCTGAAAGTCTTGCCGAAACCCTCAGTAAGCTGTGCATCGGAAACTCTAGCGTGGACCCGAGAGGCATACACTTCATCTTCAACAAAGAAAACTTCTAAGATAAACAAAAAGTGTTTTCACTATGAATCTGTCAAACAAAACTAGTGTTATACTTTTGGCTTTCTGTGAAGAACATAGAGATCCTACATTTAAGACTACAGTGTATAGTCTCCGGCAATGCCCAGAACATATTAAACTCCACCAGTACTGAACTGTGCTAGGAACAGTGTTGGAGCCCACATTAAAACATTTGGTGGGTGCAGCAAAACAATTTTCTGTTAAATATAATGTAATACATATTATGGTCCTATTACAGATTAGAAGCTGGTAGTTTTAGGCTTTGCAGTTGCTTTTTCGTTTCTTGCAAAACAAAACTAGAACCATTCAAGCCAGTGTTTCTCAACCTTTTTTACAGTCATGGCACCCTTTAATAGTATGCAAAATCTCAAGGTACCCCAGTTTAAAATGTAAAAAAATATAAATGTTACTTATCAATGGGATTCCTGAGACTGGGGCAAAGCACACAACCACCTTCATGAAATGCCCTCCTTTGCATCAGAGGTTTCCCTATCACATTAGAGGTCCCCCCATCACATCAGAGCCACCCTTCACATCAGAGGCTCACCATCACATCAGAGCCACACTTCACATCAGAGGCACACATCACATCAGAGGTTCTCCATCATGTCTGATGTTCTTCCATCACATCAGAGGTCCCCCATCACATCAGAGGCACTCCATCATGTCCCAGGTTTTCCCATTACAGCAGAGGTCTCCAAGCATGTCACACTCTCCCCCATCGCAGCAGAGGTCCCCAGGCTTGATCAGGGGTCCGCATATGCCATGACACTTTGGTTGAAAAACAATGCCCTAAGCTTCAGAGGATGAAAGGCTTGGAATGTGCAAAATATATGCAGATATTTTTCAATGATTCCACATATTCTCATATAATAATAAAATAAAACAGCTTGATATTTTAGTTTGAGTAACATCCTTCAAAATCCTTCATATAAAATAATTCCAGCTCATTTACTCACAAACACACTTAGTATAGATACATTTACCATGCACCATGTTGGTTGGCATGTGATATATACATATGATTTGCACTAAGGACATCTTAATGAATTTTTCTTTTAAAGTATCCTCCAGCTCTGAAAAACTGTATGGTTAAAAAGTAAATAAAGTGCTTTCTTCCTAATACAGCCGATACTATTTCCTCATCCTTGACCTCCTTTTAAAAGTTTGCATTCCTCCTGCATAAGAGTGGCAAGGTAGTGAAAATGAGTCAATGAGGTTGATTTACTAAAGACAAATAGACTGTTCACTTAGCAAGGGAAATTGCACTTTGCGCTGGAAATTTCTCCAGAGCTTCGTGATTGAGTTAATGCTCTGCTGACTTCTATCATCTAATCAAGTGCAAGCAAAAAGTATATAGTTTTTTTATTTTTCTTGCACTTGACTTGGTATTCTTTGTAAGGTGAAAATATGCCTCTAGGGAAAATTCCCTTGAAAAGCCTTTTTGTCTTAAATCAGTCATAATCTCTTTTCTGTCTTTATAACAAGGTTTATCAAGAGAAAAAAAGCACACTTAATATCATAAGACTCATGTAGCAAATTTCTCCATTCTCACTATTATTGACGTCACCAATATACAGGACATATCTGGAGCTCAGTCCTGCTACTGGGTATGTGAATTATGCCAGAAATGTCAGAATCAGTAGAGGTGTGCAGTGATTCAAAGGTACAGTCACATGATCATTTTACATTTTGATGACTGTGCAATGTTCTGTTCCTTTTGTTCTACATGCAATATTTCAATATGTGGCTTGAGATTTCCACATTTGTGAGAGCATTAAGGTGAAGCAGTGGAAAGGCAGACTGGATTTAAAATATGATCCCAAAATTTGCAGATGGGAAACTTATGACTCACCATCAAATAATGCAACTCTTGAGTAGGAATAAGTGAGTCTGCCTGTGATCAATTCATAAACGGTTTTGAAAAAGGAACACTTTGAAAACACATCAGATCTCAATGGGAAAAAATATCATGCCGGATATCTAGGTAATGTGTTAGGAACATAAGGATGCCCCATAGTTTGATGTAAATTAAAGTTATCAACCTACAGAGGACTGAATTCAAAGACACCCCGAAAATCAAAGTGAAAAAAATTATGCAGCAGGTTAGTCCCTTTTGCTGAAATTTCACTGCAACTCAAAATGGTTGTCAGTATTTTTTATGGCCCCCATGTGCTTGTATGCATGCCTGACAACATCAGGGCATGCTCCTAATAAGACGACGGATGGGTCCTGGACTATTTCCTCCCAGATCTGGACCAGGGCATCACTGAGCTCCTGGACAGTGTGAGGTGCAATCTAGTGGCATTGGATGGACCGAAACATAATATCCCAGAGATTTTCTATTGGATTTAGGCCAGGCGAGCGTGGGGGCCATTCAGTGGTATAAATTCCTTCATCCTCCAGGAACTGCCTGCACACTCTCAACACATGAGGCCGGGCATTGTTGTGTACCAGGAGGAACCCAGGACCCACTGCACAGCGTAGGGTCTGACAGTGGGTCCAAGGATTTCATCTCAATACCTAATGGCAGTCAGAGTGCTATTGTCTAGCCCAGGGGTGGGCAAACTTTTTGACTTGAGGGCCGCAATGGGTTCATATATTGGACCCGGGGGCCGGACCAAGAGTAGATGAATGATGTGTATGTGTCATCCATAGTAAGTATAGTAATATTCCCCCATAGTAAGCATAGTAATTAATCCCCCATATAGTAATTCATCCCCCATATAGTAATTCATCCCCTATAGTAATTCATCCCCCATAGTAATTCACCCCTCATAGTAATTCATCCCCCATATAGTAATCTATCCCCCATATAGTAATCCATCCCCCATATAGTAATTCATCCCCCATATAGTAATTCATCCCCCATAGTAATTCATCCCCCATAGTAATTCATCCCCCATATAGTAATTCATCCCCCATAGTAATTCATCCCCCACATAGTAATTCATCCCCCATATAGTAATTCATCCCCTATAGTAATTCATCCCCCATAGTAATTCATCCCCCATAGTAATTCATCCCCCATATAGTAATCTATCCCCCATATAGTAATCCATCCCCCATATAGTAATTCATCCCCCACATAGTAAGTCATCCCCCATAGTAATTCATCCCCCATAGTAATTCATCCCCCATATAGTAATTCATCCCCCATAGTAATTCATCCCCCACATAGTAATTCATCCCCCACATAGTAATTCATCCCCCATATAGTAATTCATCCCCCATAGTAATTCATCCCCCATATAGTAATTCATCCCCCATATAGTAATTCATCCCCCCTATAGTAATTCATCCCCCATATAGTAATTAATCCCCCATATAGTAATTCATCCCCCATAGTAATTCATCCCCCATATAGTAATTCATCCCCCATAGTAATTCATCCCCCATAGTAATTCATCCCCCATATAGTAATTCCCCCCCTATAGTAATTCATCCCCCATATAGTAATTCATCCCCCATAGTAATTCATCCCCCATATAGTAATTCATCCCCCCTATAGTAATTCATCCCTATAGTAATTCATCCCCCACATAGTAATTCATCCCCCACATAGTAATTCATCCCCCACATAGTAATTCATCCCCCATAGTAATTCATCCCCCATATAGTAATTCATCCCCCATATAGTAATTTATCCCCCATAGTAATTCATCCCCCATATAGTAATTCATCCCCCCTATAGTAATTCATTCCCCATATTAATTCATCCCCCATATTAAGTCCCCAAGTCCCCCCTGTGTCAATTCACTTACCTTTGCTCCGCGCGTTCCTCTCGCCGTATTCCCGCGCCGTTCCGGTGTAGCATGAAAATCTGTCTCCTATGAGGACCTGTCCCCCTTGACGTATCTGCGCATGTGCCAGTTTCAGGCATTAGCAGCCGATCGGCGATCTCCGGCACATGCGCAGATACGTCGAGGGGGACAGATCCTCATTGGAGACAGATTTTCATGCTACACTGGTCTTCAGGGCGGACTGTGACAGGAGCCTAGCAGGAGCCTAGCTCCGCGGGCCGGATTAAAAGGTCCGCCGGGCCGTATACGGCCCGCGGGCCGTAGTTTGCCCATTGCTGGTCTAGCCTGTAGAGGTCTCTACATCCCTCCATGGATATGCCTTCCGAGACCATCACTGACCCACCACCAAAATGGTCATGCTGAATGATGTTACAGACAGCATAATGTTCTCCATGGCTTCTCCAGATCCTTTCACATCTGTCACATGTGCTCACGTTGAACTTGCTCTCATATGAGAAAAGCACAGGGTGCCAGTGGTGGACCTGACAATTCTGGTGTTCAATGGCAAATGCCAATCGAGCTCTATGGTGCCAGGCAGTGAGCACAGGGCCCACTGGAGGATGTCGGGCCCTCAGGCCACTCTCATGAAGTCTGTTTCTGATTGTTTGATCAGAGACATTCACACCAGTGGCTTGCTGGAGGTCATTTTGTAGGGCTCTGGCAGTGCTCATTCTGTCCCTACTTGCACAAAGAAGCAGATATCAGTCCTGCTGATGGGTTAAGGACCTTCTACGGTCCTGTCCAGCTCTCCTAGAGTAACTGCCTGTCTCCTGGAATCTCCTCCATGCTCTTGAGACTGTGCTGGAAGGCACAGCAAACCTTCTGACAATGGCACATATTAATGTGCCATCCTGGAGGAGTTGGACTGCCTGTGCAACCTCTGTAGGGTCCAGGTATAGCCTCATGCTACCAGTAGTGACACTGACCCTAGCCAAATGCAAAACTAGTGAAAACCAGTCAGAAAACATGAGTAGGGAAAAAAAAAATGTCAGTGACCTATAAATCCATTCCTGTTTTGGGGGTCATCTTACTGTTGCCCATTTAGTGCGGCTGAAACTGGTTAACAACACCCTCTGCTACTTAACTGATCAGATCAATATCCCAGGAGTTTAATTGACTTGGTGCTATACTCTAATTAAAAAGTGTCCCTTTAATTTTTTTTGAGCAGTGTATATATA